GGGGTGATCTGCAAGGTAACCGACCTAAAAAAATTTTTTGCGTCGTCTTCTTTGTTGATTCCCCCCAAACCATCTATTAACAGCAGCATACTCTAAGTAAACCAAATCAACCAATCAGCAACGGCACAGCTAAACCTAAGCCAAAACAAATCAATCAACAGTGACCTAGATGCAGAGGGCGTGGCTTGTTGCCTCGTGCGAGCAGCGTGTGATTAAGGATTGGACATGGACCACGTGAAGGCGGGCTTTGACACTGTGGGTGTGGCTTTCAAACAGTGCCCAGATTTTTCTCATTTCGTTCCTGTGGTCAGGAAGCGAGAAATTCGAACTGTTGAGATCTCCAAATTTCACAGGTAAGGTAGAAGAGTAGGTGTGCGCGAGCTTGTTTTACGGTCCTTGAGCACTGGCAATCTGAGTGCTGTATTGGAGTAATTACAATGTCCGACCTTCGATAATTTAAGTCACAGCTGACAAGGTTGTTGAAAACTTTTATCTTGAATCCCAAATTCATATCATCGACCGACATCGGTGATCATGGTTTTTCCATTAATTCCAGGATGCTCAAAAAATGTTATAATAATATTATCCTGATCTTTCCACGTCATCTATATGCTTAAGCTCTCCAAGTAGGTATCTCTGGGTCTAACCCTGGCCTCCTTCGTCCTCGGTGTTTAGCGTAAAATTAATTAGTATGGCTAATCTCCGCTCATTTGGCTAAGTTGTGAGATCAAAGAAGAATGGTAGAAAAAGGAACCGCGCAGAAAGCCTCATTTTGACCACCACTCACATCAGTCTCTTCTAGGTACAAATACATCACAATGTTGGCCGAATTGTTTAAATGTCTCTTTTTTATAACTTCACTGCAACTAAAACAGTAATAAACTTAGGATTATATACCGACGTTTGTGGGAAAGTGGATAGTCGCTTCACCGTGGCTCGTAGAAGACGTGAGTTCGATTCGCTAATCGGTAGAATTCTTGTCCAGTGTCTCCGTATGTCTGCTGGGACGGTGTATCTCTCTTGGGGCGTAGACACACTGGGTTGGGTTTTTGGTGCAACTGTTGACAGCCTTGCCGAATGATGTCAGTTTCAGCAGACGTGAAGTTAAAAAGCCGTAAAATGTACTTTAAATTATGACCTTTGATTAGCAGAGTCCGCTTATTTTGCGTCATTCAAGTTTTCGGCTATGTACGTTCAGCTTTGTGCTTTGTTCCGTCACAAACATTGTCGGACTCATATAGCCATTCAGCTGTCACCATGGAAACTGCATGGATAGCTGCTATTTAAAAAACCCACACATTGCTTTAACATAATAAGACAAAACAAATGGATAGTATTCCAAAAGAGAGTACGCAAAAAATAACTGGAAATTGGAATGTAGCTTGAAATTGATGGCAACTTAATGTTTTAGTTTTGTAAGAGATGGATCCCTTGGGAGCAAAGCCAGGGAGAAACAGACATATAGG